GTTTCAGTCCAATTTTAAAATAATTCTTGATGTCCTTAATATTATAAATCAAGTTCCAAAGTGTTAACTATATTAAAACATATAAACTATCCTAGTTCAAAAGTATATTGTTTTCCATTACAAAATAAACCATATACATTTCTCGTCTCAAAAATAGTGAACGATGACCCAGAGTACGTTTTCCTGACCCAAAGCAATCAAACACGTGGCCCAGTCAGCTGGAAGGCGTCCTAAACAAAGCGACAAAAGTTACCTCTCCTGGAGAAACTTACAATGTCGGAGCATGCTTTCAGACGAGCCCATGTGCTCAAAGGTCTTCTTCTTAGAGAGAGAGAGAGAGAGAGAGAGAGAGAGAGGCATTGCAAGAGGGAGGGTGCTGCCCGAGGCCCTCTACTGCAAGCAATCAACTCCAATTGGTCACAGCTGGCATTGCAAGAGGGAGGGTGCTGCACGAGGTCCTCTACTCGCTCTACTGCAAGCAGTCAACTCCAATTTACCTTTGTAACAGCTTATACCTCTCTGAAAATTACTGTCCATTTTAAAAGGGGATACCAAGGCCAGGAGTTCTGGGAGACGACCTTTACTTGTAGGTCTACAGGCATGGAGGGTGTGGGCTCCTTGGCAAGCGCCTTGTGTGGCTTGGCTCTGGGCCCTGCTAAGAAGATATGGGACTGCAATGCCAACATTGAAACGCTGGAGAACAAGGCGCACCACATCCAGGCCAAGATCAACGCTTTCGATCACCACAAGGAGCGAAATGGACCTGGCTTTATGTTCTCTCAAGCGGCCGAGGAATGCTTGGAGCGTGTCAGGAAATGGAACACCAAGGCACAAGCACTCTTGGGATCACGCCACAACAGGATCTGGAGCCCCATAAAGCGGTCGGTACAGTAGCATTTTATCTTTTGTGTGTGTGTGTGTGTAGAAATGGCAGGCAGCTGGTTGAACTTCTCCACTTCCTATAGGTACAAGCGGAGTGACGAGATCGCGAAGTCCTTAAGTGCCCACGGCGATCTCCTGTCGCAGATCCAGGGTCACGAGCATGAGCTGAATGTCCACATTGAGGAGCTAAAGAAGACATCCAGAATCCAGGCCACGCTTGACAAGTTTAATGCTCCCAAGCACAAGAATCCAGATTTCCGCTACTCTGGTGAGGCTGAGGCGTGGCTGACTGAACTGACTGAATGGACTGCGAGGGCGCAAGCGCTGCTTGGATCACAGTAAGGCTTATTCGAATTCATGTTTGAAGCAATGGAGCTAAAAGATGGATCTGTCGCGCAGGGAGAAGCGATCTGGCGCGATTTCGGAGCTGGTACGCACTTGCGAGAACGATCTCCTCCCGCAGATTGAAAGGTACGAGCGAGAAGAGTTGAGAGTGATACAGCCGAGCACCAGCTTTTCCGTACGGAGTTGTCCACAAGACAGAGGTCTCGTAAACTATGTACGGCATGGTGTTACCGAGCCCAGCGACATGTTTGGCCGCCATGGGGAGCAGCTGGATGAGGTGGTGAATGCCCTCCTGGATCCACAAGCCCCGGGGAAATGGTTTGGACTCCTGGGAATGGGAGGGTGTGGCAAGACCACCCTTGCAAGATTCGTGAACAATGACCAGAGGGTCCGGCAGCATTTCCATGACAACATTGTGTGGATTACTGTCAAGAAAGATGCATCGGAGGACGATCTCAGGGCCCAGCTCCTGAATGCTCTTGAATGGGGCGGCATGAGAGAGAGGGCCCAAAATGCAGGCACCCTTGAGCATGTGCAGCATTTGGCACAAAATGTTGCTCGTGGAATTCGTGCCTTGCTGATACTGGATGATGTGTGGCAAATGAGCTGGGCCAAGGGACTGGATTTTATAGCAGGGCCGTCCTCTTACAGCCGGGTGCTGGTAACAACCAGAAAGGAAGGCATTTTGAGCATGCTGGGTGCAAAGGCATTTCCTGTGCATGAGCTATCAGAGGACGAGAGCAAAAAGATGTTTTGGAAGTTTGCCTTTTATGATTCACTACCTAGTGATCCGGACATTGTGAAAGTTGCCGAGAGAATAGCTAGCAAATGTGAGGGGCTCCCTTTAGCTCTTGAAGTGATTGGCAGTGCCATGGCTGTCTACAGGAACAAAGGGCCGCAGGTGTGGAAAGAATGCTATCAGAAGATGCATTTGTTGAATGACGGGGACATTGAGAAGCGGATGTTCCAGCGCTTGAAGTTTAGCTATGACGAGCTGTCTAATAAGGATGAAAAGCTGCAAGAGTGCTTTCTCTATGTGGCTGCGTTTCCAGAAGATTGGCCAATCCACTTTGATGATCTGAGAAAATGTTGGATAGCGGTTGGGTCAGAACTCTCGCCTCTGCAGATTGTTAGTGAACTGGAACGAAGATGCCTAGTGAAGACAACTGATGATCAATGGCGTAAGTATGTAACTGTGCACGATATGGTACGCAAGCTGTGCATAAGAATCTTGAAAGGGAAGTACCCACCCCAGGAAGAGCACGAGAAGGGATGCCTGTTTGGCTATGATTGTCCACCTGGGATTTCTCCAACATTTTCTAAAGTTTCATTCATTGGAAAGAAGGTTACAAGCAGCCTTTTGTCTGACATTCATGTGCGAGATGTCTTGCTTCTCGATGGATGTTATGGAATTTCTGGTGTGGATGTCAGTCTTATTATAGATCACATCCAAAATGTCAAGGTATTGAGCTTGAATGAAAGCTATAATTTGGTCCGTTTTATTCCAGAGAGCATATCCAAGCTGAGAAACCTTCAAGTGCTTGACCTTCGATATTCAAGCGTGTCCTGTTCAAGTGTGACAATATTCCCAGATGCGCTCTTCAGCTTGACATCACTGAAGGTTTTGAAATGCGATGATACCACAAAATTCAACTTTGCATTACTGCCCCAATTATTCAACTTGGAAGAGCTGAAGCTTCAATTCGGTAAGGAGTTAGCTGTGGATTTGAGTGGAATTTCAAGCCTACACAAGCTAAGACATTTAGAGCTAGGCCTCCACAAGGCAACAATAAAAATACCTCACAGCCTTGGTGCACTAGTGCACATTGAGAAACTGGAGTTGCGTGCAAAGAGCATGGACTTTGGCGATTTCACAGGCCCGTGGCAACTTGTCAATCTAAGACGATGTCACATTTATGTGGAATCGACTATCAAACTTGACTGGAAGCGAATGTTTAAGAATTCCAACCAGCTTCAGCACTTTTCAATCGACGGGGTACAAGACGGTGAAAACAATGCCGAAACCCTTGAATGGCCACAGCTCCAATATTTAAGGATGGGGACAATGAAAGACCTGTCTTGGCTAAAGGGCTTTCAACGGCTACAAGAACTTTACATAGACTGCAGTGGTATCCAGTTCTTCAGTCTGGATGGATTGTTCCCATGCCTCGAATGGCTGGAGCTTCAAAATCTGCACATTGCACAGTCGGAGTTCAAGGATGATTTGGCAGCAAGTCTTCCAAACCTGAAGAGTTTAACATTCTATCTGGCTCCTGATAATACATGGGAGCATTTGCCTCTCTTTGTGACACAACTCCCCAATGACCTTGATTTGCTGCATGTACAAGGTTACATGAGGAGACTCTTGATGCCAACCGAGAGATCACAGCTGAAGGTGGAACGGTTCACATTATTTTTGAGCTGTATGAGGCAGCTCCCCAATGATTTCTTTGAGCCAACAGACCAGATGACTGCTCTAAGAGGTGTAACCTTGTTTACGATCGAAAATATTCCATCATCCATTGCATCCCTTCCAGGATTGGAGGTTCTTGAGCTCGCTGATCATGATGATGTAGTGTGGCCCCAATTGAGTTCAGACGATCACGGCCTTGGCTTATTTCCCAGGCTCAAAGTCCTATGCTGCCAAAAAGGTACGAAAGTTCCACCATGGCTTGAGGAGCGGCCGGATCTCCAGATAACATTCTGGGATTAAACCTTGCTCCTTCAGTGGACATCGATTGGGTTCTCGATCTGCGCAAATGCTACACTATTTTGCATCACTCAAAAAACAAAAACAGAGATTTCCAAGCCGTCAGCAGCGTTTGGAGAAGACACAGTTTCTGTTTTTCTTACAAATCGTATTCTCAGGATATTACTTTACTCTCGTGGTTTTGAGTATTTTAAAATCTGGTGTATAGAGTAAATGGTAAAACATGGAAAACATAACAATATTAAGAATATGCATATGCATACCTTTAGTTCTTCAGAGGTCCTGAAACGGTTCTCCTTCGGCTGTAACCAGAGATACAAACACATGAAAATAGAGAAAGAAAAAAAGCAAGCACAAACCTTGTAAAACTGTGGAGCTTTACCCTCACGACGGTGACCGTCAATTTGTAGCTCCTCGAGATCTAGAGAGGTCGTCACGCCTTCTCCTTCCAAAGCATCTAGATTATGGAGCCTCTGTTTGGACTCCTCAAAAGCCGCGCCAACGGAAGAGTTTTGCATACTTCCCGATGGCAAGCCTAGACGTTCAAGTTGAGATGCCAAAGACCGTGCCTTTGCAACCTTGTAGTCCGGTTTTTCCTCCGCTGGAAATGCTGCCTTTGAGTCAGCCTGTTTTATCCTCCATTCCTGTTGATGTTTTCTCCTAGCATTCGACTGAGACCCGTTTGAAGATTTAAGCGACTCGTCCCTTCCATCAGAGATATCGCAGGAGGTGATGTCACTTGGATCAGCATCTTTATGCCTCTCATTTACCGCAATGCACTGGCCAACAGCACCCCGAGCACCGCGTCTGGCGTCTGCACGACCGGTACCTCGACCTCATCGCCTCCGCGCTCAAATTCGGCCTCTCCATTTACGTATCTCCCACGATAGTCCTGTAGTCTTCCGGATGCTGAGTTTGTCCTCGGCTTATTAGAGTCGTTATAGTCGTAGCCGTTTAAAGGTAGTGCGAGGCGGCAAGCTCCGATCCCCTTCGCTTCAAAAGTGCGAAACCAGCAGCTCCACCTCCATCGACTTCCCGGGACATCTCGTTCACTTCAACGCCAAAGCTCCGGGCTGACGTCTTGCGTTCGCTTTCTCCGTCAAACAAAGTGTGGCTTGACGACGGAAGAGCAGCCCACAAACGTCCAAGGAGGTCATTTGGACTCTGCGTCTTGGTGCCGTTGGAAGTGAGGTGACCACCCACCAAATCTTGTTGCTGGGACGTAGAGTGGTCGTGGAGGAGGACCTTCTCCTCCTCCTCCAGGTGCTCCAGAAGGAGCAAAGCTGTGGCAGGGACCGTGAGCTGCGACTGCTGGGTCCTGTAGCTGCTACTGCTTCCACGTCATGGCTGACTTCCAGCTCCTGTGAGAGAATCACTGCCCGCTACATGACTGATCGCCCCAGAAACCCCGAAACTCTAGAATGCGCCCCGGCTTTCTAGCCGCCCCGGCCGCGGAGACGAGAGGAATCGACGCGATCGCCTGCAAAGCCTCAGCGTTCAGCTCAATTTCCTAGAGATCATATGCTTGCATGAATCTAGATCGGCTACTCCGGCTCTAGGCCAGCGAAATCGCGGCGCGGCGCCGGCGCCGGCGCTGCTGCTGCTTCCCGAGGCGATCCTAGCATGCACCTTGCTCGTCGCCGATGCTGCCGGAATCAAACGCACTTGCGACGCGATCGCCTGCTCCTTCGCTGTCCGCCATAGCCGCGAAGAAACCTAGAAATGCTTGTACCCCTACTATCCGAAGAATATACGCGCCGACGCTAGAAGCATATTCCCCTCTTTAACTATAAGTTAAAAAAATGCTAAGGACTCCAGTTCTTCTCCGATTCGAGCGCTTGGCACCTCTTCGTCTGTGAGAGCCCCCGCGATCAATCGCTGCTTCCTCGCTTGGACCTGTTGCATTCTCTCCTCCACCGAGTCCTGCTCTAGAGACATGAGAAACGTCAAAGAGAGTTTCAAGTGGCGCTTACTTTGACGATGAATCACTTGAGCGATACGTTCTTCGTCTGACTGATGCTCGATTGTCCACATTCTCGACTCGGAAGATGGCTAAAAAAGAAAACTATAGCGCGTACCATGAGAAAAGCTTGAGCATGACCACAAAATAGAGTGGTTTCTTGGAGGTAAGCAACACAAAAAGCTTACGGCCACCACGGCTGGAATATTGCTGAAGTTTTTGAGCACTTGTTCTCACTGACGCTGCGATAGTGTTCCGTCCAAGCGGACGAAACAGAAGTTCTTCCTGGCAGTGCATTGTTAGAAACACAAACAAAGAGAAAGCACCAAAAGGAAAGACGCTCGTACCTTTTCAATGGTATCTCTAACAAGTCGAGAAACGCTGTCCACTGACTAAAAACAACGCTTTTCGACCCGGCCTCACTTAACGTCTGGAGGTGGTGCAGCAGAGCCTCGACTTTGGACGACTCCTTCCACTGCTCCTCGACATTTATTCGAAACCGATTACTTGTTGGTACAGCTATGAGTTCCTTTTTCGTACAGGAACGCCTGCATGATAGCTATGGATATGGAAAAGAGCTCTCGAAAAAAAAAAAAAAATGTTACCTGCATATTGGACAGGGACCTCCGACGCTAGTACGCCAGCTATTAAATAGGCACTCACGGCACATTCGATGTAAGAACTGCGTCCTCTGGCATCTCCGAACAAATTGGGCACTCAGCACTTTCTCCTTTACGAATACCTCTTTGACATACGCCGTCGAAGGCACCTGGGAGGAATTCTTGTCCAAGAAAAATCTAGCCAGCTTTTTCAACGAAGAACTTGCCTTGTTCAACGAACTGATCGAATTTTACCTGATCACAAAAGCAAAAACGTGTTCAGAAAAAAGAGAAAATAAAAGAAAGAGAAGTTCTTCATGCCTTAGATCTGTGGTAAAGGGCATCATAAAAATCACGTTCAGGCTCAGATAGTTTGCATTCAATAACTTCACATTGAGCCGGTTGGAGAACAAGAATTGGTCTGTGAATCCAACTTGTGAGTGAATACAAGACAAGGCACGGTGCAAAGAAAATAATGCTTACCTTCCTTCTTTATCAGTTGAATATTTTGTTCTTCGAAGCATTACCGGCTTCAAGATAGCTTGCAGAAGCTTCAATCCGCGCTCATCCCCCTCCTCGTAAGCTTCTGACTTGTTGATATAAACTCTGCAAGCACATCATATACGTAACGTCTCTGGTAAACACAGAAAACTCTACCTCAAATGGAGAACTATGCTGCTCATAAGAGAAAGAGCCTCTGGTGCCATTTTGCACTTCCCAAAGGTATCAAACACTTGGCCCAGTCGGCTGGAAGCCGTCCTATCTGTGAGCAAATGGTTAGAATTAAAACGAAGAAACAAGTCAAGTGAAACGTACCTCTCCTGAAGCTTTTGTCAAGAACCTTACAATGTCGGAGCTCGCTTTCGGCCGAACCTTCTTGTGGTCAAAAGAACTTCTTCTTACTTTCGACTTCAGGCTTGGGAAAATTGAAGGACACGAACTCGCCAACACGAATCCGGCATCCCCTGGACGTCGAGTACCCGGCAACTTCAGTCTCTTGGAGAAGCCACCACCTCTCTGCATCTAAAACAACCAGCTTCCATCTTCACCAAGCCATCTACTTTCGTAGGATCACATCCAGCTGCGATCGAAACCGAAGCTTCAGCTTTCACGGAACCACAACCAGTTTCCATCTTAACGGGATTACCGTGGGTCAAGGCACTACCTCTGATTGAAAGTCCAGCTAAGGCGCTAGAAACAGCCTCGCCATGTTTCCTGACAGTCTCAATGGAGCTCTCCACCACTGTTGTTCTTTCCACCTCGGCATCATTTCCTCCTCCAGTCATAATCTTGTTTACCTCTTCTTCCCCACCATCGATTGCTCCACTTTCTACTCCCGAATCATCTAAATCCTCTGCTCCACTATCAACAATCACCTCGGGAATTTTTGCTGTCCTAGAAGCCTCAGCTTTTGCGGGAGTTTTTGGCGATCCACAGCCGATGGAACATTTTGCCGCAGGGACCTTTGTTGTCACCGTACATCTAGAGCTCCCTGTCGTCCACGATTTACCAACGCTGGCTGGGGCTCCTCGCCTTGGCACTGCTCGTCGGAGCCTTAAGCTGGAGCCTCTTCCTATTTCTAAAACCCGGAGTGTCGAGTCCCATTACCTGTGCAGCTCCAGAACGCCGATCAAGGCCGCCCCCCAGCGCCGTCTCCTCGACCACGCGGGCAATAGAAAACCTACGTCGCCTCCAAGAAAGAACCCTAGAATGGAGAAGTAGAGACGATAGCGCGGGAAAATGTAGCGGGAAGCCCCAATCAATTGCGCGCCAGCATCGCGCATCTGATCGACGAGCTTCTTCTTCGCAAATCCTGGAGATCACGTCACGCAGAATGATATGCAGCACCCATCGCCAGGACTCGGCGATTGCGGATAGAATCTAAGATCTTTCAAGACGTCGGTGACAAGATCGCCCGGATCCCATCAAAGATCGGCAGAGGAGCCCTCTATTCCCAAACGCCTGGATCAACGCCGTACAAGAGACAAGACGATGCTCATACTCTCAAACAGGCGTATCGCGTCTTTAAGAGCGTGCTCCGTTCGTAAAACAAGGAATGATCATTGTTTTTCTTGCGAGCACATTCTGTTGAGGCATCCCGTCAATTGAAACTTTTGCGTCTTCTAAATGCCTTGTCCCGGCAACTGCTGCTTTCTCGCATGGCATTCACAAACCCACCTTGATCAAAACATTCCTCGATCATCCAAAGAAACATCTCTTTTGACTGAGCGTTTTAGGCATACGCTGCGAGGATCAAGTTCCATGCGACCACATCCCTCTTGGATCTCCGCTCAACCGATTTTTCCCAGCAAGATGTTCCGCAAGAGCCAGCGATGATCCGTCGAGCACCCCACAGCTCCCCATACTTTTGGACGATGAGATTGGCGAGGTAGCGATCGTTGTGGTGCTCACTGTGAATCAATCTAGCTCTTATGTCGTGAAGGTCGCTGGTGTTTAAGCAAAATTGAACCAAAACAGCAAATGCCTGGATGGAAGAACAGCTGCTCAAAACGCTATTAGTGTGTGTGTGTGTGTGTGTGAGAGAGAGAGAGAGAGAGAGAGAGAGTTGAAAAAAGTGAAGAACAGTATGATTCCGATCTACAAGGCCAAGAGTTAATATTGTGCTTCTTTCTGGGAGAAAACGTTTCAACTTTGCAAAAGAGACAACCTGTACTTTGTGTGTTCAAGGTTTTCTGTTTGTATAAATAGAGTGACCATTGTGTTTCTTGCGAGCACGTCATACTGAGGCATTGCATCAAACGAAACCCTTTGCTTCTTCCAAATGCCATGCCAGGGCAAATGCTGCTTCCCGGCATCCACAAACCCCTTGATCAAAATGTTACACGAGAAGCAACTCTCTGGATAAATCATCAAAAGAAACAACCTCTTTGCTTAAGCGTTTTGGTCATATGCCAGGATGACGTTTGATACAGCCTCCCAGTTTCTTATCCCCGGTTGATCCAACTCGGGTGCTCAAGTTTTGCTGATGAGCACAGCAGCAGAATTCCATCACCTGTGCAGTCTCCCTCTTGCAACTTTCCAACTTAAAAACTGGGGACGAATAAACTCGGCTTCTGGAAACCACTAGTTCCTTGCTTATATTATCTTCGAGTGGGAATTTATTACCACTAAAAGACCCTGTGACGAGAAATGGACTAGGAAGTGCGAGGACTCCTTAAAAACCAAGCCACATTGTACCACAGACATATTGGGAAAAAAAATACCACACAACAACATACCAGAAAAATACAATGCATATGCAATTTGAGCTTCATACTTAACATCCCAACAACACTTCAACTCCAAAACTCTATGCTGTGAATTCCCTACTTCCTCCAGATGATAATCTAAGGCTTAGCAGCTCACTGAGTGGAGATGCAAAAGAAAACAAGTGAGTGAGAGCAAATGATGGCGTTTCAATGAGGAATGGGTATTGTGTGTTTTGCATAGTGCAAACATTTTGCAAGGATATTTAAAACAGCACCTTGAGCCACTACTCCTAGAATGTTGTTCTTGCCGGTTGCAAAGATGATTTAGCGTCAAAATTGCCTTGATGGCTGTCACAACAACTTATGGAGCAGATCATGATTCAAGTCAAGGTGCACAAATTTTCTTCTCCATTATCAAGTACTTTGATTTTTCCAGCTGTGATCCACCAAAGGTTCCAACACTTTGGCCTTCATCTCCATGGGAAAGACATCTGGCTGCCAGATGCCATGCCATATAGTGTTGTCTAGCACCACAACCACAATATGCTCATCAACATGGTTTTTTTACTATAACTAGTACCAAAACAAAATGGTTGTGCTTGTGGTTAAACCATATGTGATTTTAATGGTTTCATGACTGGTTTCTTAATTGTTAATGCATTGGTTTTGGGACCACAACCACTAATGGTTTTGTACATAGTTTTCATCATGATTTATGTGCTATTTGGCAATCACAAGGAATGGCTTTTTGTATAATTTTGAATATGATTGAGTTGTATTTTGAGAATAAATGTACATATACTTTTGTATATAGTTTACTGATACATATATAGTTTGGAAACTAATGTTTGCCAATTTTGTTCACATAATTTTATTCACAATTCAGATATAGTGTTGCATATAAATTTTTATATATAGAACCATATTTATAGATATGGTTTTAATTACATTTTAATTTTTTAATATCATAGTGGTGTAGTCCCAAGTATTTATGGACCAAGCCTCTTTAAATATAATCAATTGTTCAAACTTCACACTCTTATCAACAATGTCCTTTAAGGTTTGTTCAGTTTTAATTTTGCAAGCATTTGGCAATTGGTAAATATAGTTTTCATTTTTATAAAATTGCTTTATGTTAACAAAAGAAAACTTAAATTCAAGGAGCAATTCCACTAATTTTCTTAGAATTGCTATGTTAAGCTTAGAAAATTCTTGCAAGTATTTGCTAAATTTGAGTGGAAAAAAATAAAATTACTTATATTGATTTGTTATTATACTACTTTATTAATAGTTGTTGATTTTTTTTGTGCATTTACAGTGTATTCCACTTCTTTTTCTTCATATATTATATAATATATACAAGCTTAAGAATCAATACACCTCCTTATAAATATTTATGGCCATAGGCTAAGCTTTTACTATTGTGGATGACACTTACAAAGTTATACAAGTTAGTTATAATTAATACACACAAGCAAAAAAAAATAAATTTAGTGAAGATTGTTGCAAAACAATAAATTTTTTTTATAATATTATCCACATTTTAATAAAACATTATTTAAGGAAGCACTTTCAGTGTTCTTCTATTTGTAAATAGAGCCAGAAAATATTATATATACAATTAAGTTATACTATGAAATTTACCTTTTTCTTCTTTGGTTATAATCTCACACTCAATTTCTTCATCAATTCTGTTTAGTAGGGTATGGGGGTTGCTCCTCACATCCGTTGCCATATGATTCAGTCTAGAGCTACATAAACAAAAATTAAAAAACTATAAAATTCTTTTGAAAATAATACTGCTTTAATAATTTTTTCATTATCCTTGCCAATGACAATGGCCTTTATGCACTTAGGCCAATACATCTCCTGAACTTAAAATTTAAAATTAGTGCATACCTTTTTCTTTAGTGTTGAGCATAATTTTAAAATGCCATCCTAAAAACAATTTACCTCACATATGAAAAAAACCTTTATATTGGCCAGTAAATCCTTATCTATGAGTGAAATTATCCTCACTCGTAGGGCTTTATACTTTCAAATGAGTGTGCCACTATAAACTTTCTTAACTATTGTAGTTCTAACTCATTGCCATTTATCTAAAATTGTTATCCTTGCTATTTGAAGATATTGCAAAAGTTATATTGAAAACTATGAGGTTTTTTCCATTGAAACTAATATGGTTTGTACCTTAAAAAACTCAAGATCTACATATTTAACTTAAATGCAAGGAGATTTACAACACTCTAGTCATACAAGTACTTTATAAACTCTTTTATTTGCTCTATTTTAGCAACCACTACTTTCTGAAGTTGATATCACAATATAATGAAGATCTCTTTTATTTTGAACTCATAAATACAAAAGGAACTGATTATTTAATTTACACTCAAAAACTTGCTCAATTAGCTTAGTTCTTTGCTCCACTTACCTTTTACATTTGAAGTATCCTCTTTTGTAGTTAGGAAAGATTTACAATAACTCATAAAGTAGATTCTTGCTAAATAAAGTTAATAAAAAATCTAGTAAGCGCTTGGAGTATTTAACATTAAAAATTGGTGTTGCAAACCTTGGTTGCTATTTTTATAATCCTTGATTTGGTGTGTTTTATTCTTAAGTGAGTGTTGGCTGGTACTATTGTTTTCGTGAAGGGCTTTTATTTTGGGCATGCTTTTTATAGCATATCTATTCCGACGAATC